TCATCTGCAGCGAATGAATAATTCAAAAGTTCCTAATAAACAATAGCAACCTTAATAGCAAATATTTTCTCAATTTTGTCTTCTCCACACATAACTTAGACGCATAACACCAAGTTCTGGTTGAATGCTTAACCCCTAAGGGACGACGTGTACCAGCTGAGGTACACGATCATTTGAAGGCCTTTCTCGCTGAACAGAAATTTTCTTTAGAACACTTGGTAATCATTCGAAAGCTAAAATCTCTGCATTGTTTATTCGAAACAAGCCTTTTTATTACGCTACAGCAGCGAAAACAAAATCATGTTTCACACTCAGTTTGATTTATTTGCTCGACTGAGGCTTGTATGTGGTTGTCCACCAAACTCTTACAAGTCATTCAATAGCCCAAATCTCGAAGATTTCGGTGCTGTAATTGGTTTTTTCAAAGATTATTACAGAGCGCTGTAAGAGCGAAAAGGTTACGTTTCGCACTCAAAGTTTTTATCGTACAAGAAAGCTATATGTGCACAAAAAACGTATGATCATGTAGAGAAAATCATGGAGTATCAGATTAACACAGAAAACTTGAGGTTTTACTTCCCAAATGGGGGAAAATCCCTAATTTTATAACAAAAATCGCGCACCTCCTGTGAGTTTACGCTGTGCGATCGATCAACTTCCGTCCCTAAAGGGTTAAGACGGCTATAGTGCTAAAAATTGTGCTTGCGAATGACATTTTAACAATTCCTAAGACCGACTGTCTATTAACCTAGGCATGCTTCGATATAATTCCTGATTTTCTTCGTTAAGCCAAACACGAGGTGTTACATTAACTTTATTTGACAGCTGACGCATGGGCAATTCGCGTTCTTCAGAGCCTGGAAAGGTCAAATTGTCAAGGTCAATCAAGCACATGCTTTGATGCAATTGAAATCTAGGTCTGGTGATTTTTTCTCACGGAATAATAAAGGAGTTTGGCTTATTGGAATGCGGACAATTTGACCTTTCCAGGCTCATAAGAAGGCGAACTGCCGAAACGTCAGTTGTCAAGTAAAGTTCAATGTAACATCTCGTGTTTGGCTTAGAGAAGAAAATCAGAAATAACATTTTAATTATCTTAATAACCCTAAGGCCTACACCTAGACCTCGTAAAGTTTCTATCGGACTTTGTTTGAGATATAAATTCTCAAACAACTTTAGGAGCACGGCCTACCCCTAAGGCCTAGTATAGTTCCCATCGGCCTTCATCTTTGATGTTTCTGAACAACGTAAAAAGCGCAGCCTAGAATAGTTCCCATGGACTTTTTCAATACATTCCCAAAGAACTTTTGAGCACAGCCTACACTTACGGCCTATTTTAGTTCGATAGATCTTCGTTCCAAATAAATTCCCACATACATAAGCCTCAGGCCCACACCTACGCTGCATATAATTCCTCAAGGCCTTCGCTTTTAACATGACTCTATTGGATCCTCATAAGCATGGCCTAACCACCTAGCCCTACGGCCTCAAAGAGTTCCTATGGTCCTCCACTTTTTGAATTACCCTAGAACTTCATATGCCCGCTCTAATGGTTTACACCGACGGCCTAGTACGGTTCCTATGGACCTTCGTTTCTTAACCGACTCCTAAGAAACTTCACAAGTATGACCTACTTCGACGGCCTCGTATTTTATCCATGGTCCAATATAAATTACCAGAGAACTTTATAAGCATGGCCTAACGGTCTCTCCCTGCGGCCTAATGGCACAGCCCTACCGCCTAATGGCCTCCTCCTACGGTCTGATGGCCTACCCCTACGGCCTAGTATAGCCCCTATGGGGCTTCTTTTAAATAAATTCCCAGGAGAAAGAGCACAAAACAAATACTGTGATGATACAAAGGGCATGACGATGCGAGACGAATGAAAGAAATCGATGGAAGCGTCATATAGGAAAATGGATAAAACACGGAAACCACCAAAACCACTCGAGAGCATCGATTTGGTTACGGTAAACCGTGGGTCACGTATTGGCCGTAGAGCACTTCATAGTAGTCTTAGCAAAAGGTAGACGCAACTGTTGGAAATCTTCGTTATTTTCATTATTGTCGAGTAATTTCACGCCTAGTAAACATGTAATCGTTTCACTCCAAATCTTTGTGAGTAGAAAATAACGAAAATATGGAGATCAGCTAGCCGAGACTATCGATTTGAACGCTGTGGTTTGTGGGTCACACATTGGCCGCAGAGCACCACTTCATCATATCCGGAACTTTTGAAATACCACAACAATTTTAGTGTTTCGGTGGATTGCATGATCACTGCACATCCCTATTTCATTTGCGAACTTTCAGAATAGAAATGAATGGAAATTTAGGAAAAAAGCCGCCTCCTCAAATCATTGATTTGATAGCTATAGCCATGGGTCAGCTATTAGCCGCGGAGCACATTGTTGTCGTTTCATGCGGGCTAGATGACCCATTGAGAAACCACGTCACGTCGAGGTTTCGGAGGATTTTGTGATTATTGGACCTTCCTTAATCTTGTTCCTCACCCTTATGGATCTGAAATGTACCGTATCGTTCTCAAGTCGATTGAAGTGTTTTCCAATGGGTCTTTCATTGAGAAAACCCCCGTTGTCCCTCCACTCCCTGAAATGCGCTGCATTGTCTTCCGTGGAAGGCCAGCAGGTAGAATCATCCTGGACTTCTGCTCTTATCTTTCCACTGGCTATGTCGTCGCGCGATAATCTCCTTCTAGCATGTCCAGAGGCTAGCAGCGCGATTTAGAGGTATATCGCTGACCCTCGAGGCGATAGGAAGCAAGCTTTGATCGATTGACTCCCGCGGACCCACGCTGGGCGTGTCCACCAGCGTGGGAACGACTCCATCTGTCCTACCCCGATTAGTCCCCGCCCACTGCAGTACCACTCTTCGTTGCAAGATCCGCAGCTAGGTTGTGTACTAATTCGTGCGGTCTTCCAACGGAGAGTATTTCTGTAATCGGCGATTAATCTGGACAGAGGAGGTGGAGTTGTTTCCGCGCTGGTTGGCACCCCCAGCGTGGGTCCGCGGGAGTCAGTCGGTTAATCTCTTTTTTTGAAATGTTTTACTCTAAAAAGAATTACTTTGAAAAGAATAGATTAGATAGGAATAATGATAGTTGAAATCATTGTCGATATCATGGCGAATAATAATTAATTTTTTCGTGTTGTTTTGTAGTCGTGACGTTATAGTTTTTAAAGACTTGGAACATGTTTTTTTTAGATTACTTTTTTATTATCAAGCGCAATCCTTTTATTTTAACCCCTTTAGCCGTGGTATCATGGCGTAAATAAACCCAATAATGTTGACTAGTGTAGAAAAACTCTGACATCAGGCGGGATTCGAACACGCATTCCACCCTTTCGGCAAGCGTTGATCGGTTCCCAGGAAAGCCAACAAGTGAAATCATTCTGGACTTCTGTTCTGATCTTCTGCCTAGCTGTGACCTTTCCGATAATGTTCTTGGCGTTTGCTCAGTGGTTAGCCTCCAGACTCAGAGGCAAATATCGCTGACCTCGAGGGGGTGTTGGGACCTTAAATTCTCTTTTTTACGTCCATTTTACTCTGAGAATCAATTACAATGGAGGAGTCGGATATGGAATCATCATCAATATGACTACGATTAATTACTTTTTTTCCGAGACGTTTCATGGTCGTAACGTTTCAGCTGTTGGTGGCTGGAACGTTTTTTTTTGAATTATTTCTTTTACCTGATTTTTCTTTTATTAATAGAATTTGAACCTCGTTGGTTCCAATTCTTTCCGTCGAAGTGAAGAAAGCAACAGTTTAAATAAACCCAATGATGTAGAGTGGTGTGCAAAAACGTTTGCGTCAGCCAGGATTTGAACCCAGATCTTACTCTGTCCGTAAAAACCTCTTTCACTCTTTCTTTCTGGCTTTGAAAGAATGGATTGCAATCGAGCGTCGGTGGTGCAACGGTTTAGCACATGCTCCCGGAAAGAGTAAGATCTGGGTTCAAATCCCGGCTGACGCAAACGTTTTTGCACATCACTCTACAATATTGGGTTTATCTAAACATCATAACACCGCAATAGGCGGTCAAATAAAGATGATTTCTGAGAGCAACGGTTCCTTTATAGGTGAAAAATGAAAGTAAACTCAGAAATGTCCTGTTATGATCAAAGAGATTTATTTTTATTCAGTCGCTTTTTAATGGTGTTGTGATGTTGCAAATATTTTCTCTAATGATGTTCAGTAATGTGCAAAACTAACGTCAGGCGGACTCGGGACTTAAACTCCCATCTCACGCTTTCCCCGTTAGTGCAATTGGTTAGCAGGTTGACTTCCGCGGACCCAAACTGGGCGTCTCCGCCAACGTGGGATTGACTCGACCTTATCTGCTTTTTTATAGACTAATGATATAATTTGTTTTGAGCCGTTTGTAAGGTCTGATAAGTGCTAGACAGGCCCCTGCTCCGTCTTCTGGGATTCATCAGTAGCACGGTACCCTTCGGTTCAGCCGATCCCTTGAGGCAGTACTCCTCTATAAAGGAATCGATGCCGATAATAATTCACCGCAAAGTCAGGTGACACAATCTCCTGGCATTGTTTTGAGCGGGGTCTATGAAAAAGCGGTCGAATGAATAGGCATGATCCATTTCACCAGCCACAAGCTCGACTGCTGGTCACTACATTGTCAGGGGATTCTGTCGCCTGACGTACTGTGATTTATTAACCGCGTTAATTTCTCAATGGAGGGGTTTAGCCTTAAGGGATCGGTTTAACCGAAGAAGACTGTGCTACTGATGAATCCCAGAAAACGAAACAGGGCCTGGCTAACACTTATCAGACCTTACAAACGGCTCAAAACATGTTATATCATTATTAGACTAGAAAACATTCTCTTTGATCATCCACGTAATTATATGTAAGCGTGACTGGATCCAGTGTTGATAGCGACTACCAAGCCAAACCATTGATGGGGTGGGTGCTGACAGATTGATGTGTGATAGCGTAGAAAGAGTGGTGTCAAAACAGGCGTTGTAAGTGCAGTTGGTTAAGCTCGCGCCCCTGGAAAGGGTGAGATGGGGTTCGAGTCCTGCCTAACGTCAAATGTCTTTCTATCCAAAGGTTCCTCTAGGTTAGTGCGCGTTTCTTCTATGTCGGTGGCAGACCTTTCGGCTACTTATCCTTTCAGAGTCAATATATTGGGTGAAAGAGTCCTAGAGTCTTGTAAAATTTGAAACTTCTAAGGGACTTTTCAGAGAGACAAAACGGCTCTGAAGAAGGCGATGCCGTTGAAAACATTAGCTATCGACTTGGAGAAGATATACTAAGCTTGCGCAAGATTTAGATAAGAAAATGGTTTGTCAATGACCTAAAGCAGTTGTCTCTTCAACTGGCAGCTCCGATAGTGTTTTGAAAAAAGAGGTACCAGAGCGGTGACTCCAGTGGCGTAGTGGTAGCACGCGCCCCTGGTATGTGTGAAAGCAGGGTTTCAGCTCCTTGCCGAGGTCATGTTTTTGCGTACCAACTCAGTCTTCTTAGATGAGCATGAAAGAGAACCTTTGTCTCACGTGTTCTTCTCTCTTCCAGCATTTCCATGCTTATCATAAAGGATAAAGGATAAAGCTCTCGGCGTTGATCAATCCCTGAGGGATGCGCCATGCATTCGACTTCAATTTTTAACTTCGTTTTGAGGTGATTGAATGCATATCTGGCCTTTACAATGACGCGCGGTGGCCTCCCGCTGAACCGAGTCAGTGCTGCTTATCCTCCCAGACAAGTCTGAGACCTGTCTGGTACCAATTTACCGACCCCGGAGGGATGGATGGCTTGGTGAGCCATGAGCGCGAGATCGAACCATTGACCTCGTGTGTGACGTAGAGCACCTCTAACCACTGCGCCACATGCGCTCTATGCTTATCATGTTTCTCAGGTATTTTGTTATGCTACTTTTTACTCTTCACTTAGAACTAGCTTTCGTATGCTAATTAATGGTGGCGGTACTGTAGCTTAACATCAAGAACAGTTGTAAAGCTATAATTAGACAAATCGTGAGAGAACATCCACCTCAGAACTGAATATCCTCTCTTTCATGTGAGGATTTGTCTTGTTCCATTTTGACGAGAATTCCTCGGTTTGTCATAACTTTCGTTTCGAGTGTTTTCTCAAGACTAACAGTTCAAATTTCAATATGCCTCGTAATCATTGTTGAGCCACGCATGTCAGTGTCTGTCAAAGAGGGCTGACTTGTAGAGCCCGACCACTGCTACGGTTCTCATAGGACTCTATAAGTCAGCCCTCTTTGACAGATCATTGACATGCGTGGCTCAAAAATGATTACCGGGCAGATGTTCCTCGTTTCTTCATCTGAGGGACGTCACGATTCCATCTA